AGGGCCCGCCCAAGACCGACCTCATGGCCTTCAGTCCCAGCCTTCCTCAGGGTCCCACCTCTACAGACAACGTGAGTCATAAATCGTGTTTTTTCCAACAGCTTTCAATGTTTTAAGCCTTTTTATTTAAATGTTTCTTACATAATTGTTTCTTTTTTAGTTGATGGCTTTACATATAATATTTTTTCAGTGTTAGACTTTTTCACTAATTATTATATTCATATCTAATATGCTCTTTTTAATTTGGGACATGCAATTTTACGGATCAAAATTTGTGATTTATGTTGATTACTTTCTTCTTTTGGAGTTAGATTTTTCTACCTAGAATAATGGCTTATGCTCTCTCTATTTTATGATGTATTTCCAAAACACGTCCACATTTTGTAGTCAAAGTTTATAAATGTAAAAAAATTCAAGATATATTTTCTAATATATATCCCAGTTTAGTACTAATATTATAAAATATTTAAATATTTCAACACCATCTGTTTCATTTTTGCCTTTTAATGTTTAGAACTTGAATTATTTTAATTTTTATTTCACTTGATTATCACTCTTTATCGTATTTGTGTAGTACTATCTTCTTTTAGCTTTCTTTGTTGAAATACATTTACCATCATCCTGACGAATAATATTAACAATTTAAAAGTGTAGTTTAAATGGCAGTTCAATAGCATTTTTATTGTGTTTCTTGTTTGTACAGGAAATATATTTACATTCAGAATTTCAAGAACTGGAATCTAGTATATAATAAGAAGTCTCCTTGTTACTGCCAACCCTAAACCATTCCCTTTACTTTTCTGAATTTCTGAAGCAGTTTCAGTTTCTTTTGTTATGTTCCATTATTTCACATACACATATATTTATAATCTGCTTGTCTTTTTTTTTTTTTAAAATAAGCGATTCCTATAAACCTACTTTTCTTCATTTTATCATTTTCCATTAAATTATATATTGGTTTTTGTGTGATATTTCTTAAAAGCTTCCTCATTTTGGAAGGTATTTGTTTTCTTGTTTTTATATATCTGCATCTTGTTTAGTTTTATAGGTATATCATGATTTATTCACCCACTTCTTTATTATGGACATTCATGAAACAATAACTTCATTGTCCAATCTTTTAAAAAATCTACAAATAAATTGGTTGGCTAAAACGTCAATGTTCAAAGTTGGTACAATTCAGATATACTTTAGCAAGTCACTTTAGGATAGCTTGCTTTTTTGTTTTCAGTGTGAACAAAGGTGGGGGTAAAACTTGTTTGACAAGTAGTAGAATTATTTAACATTGAGCATTAAGTTCAAATTCACCATAAGCAGATCAAATTTGCTACTCCTTTTGAAAGAATACTCAGTTCTGTAGAAAATCTGTAAGTAGCCTAGCCTTTCAATGGTGGTAATTGTAATTCTGTTTTTACTTATTTTTCTTTTATGCATACACACACACACACACACACACACACACATTTAAAAACTTCCTAGTATATTGTTAAGGAATTTAAAAAATATATTTATATTGAGAAATACTAGAAGTAGAAAGGAGATCGTCCTTAGCACCCCAATCTGGATTCCTCAACCATCATTACTTTCTTGAAGATAAATTATTTTTCAGATAGTCAAACTCTTTGACTTATTTCATGGCTATAGGATTTTTTTTCTTGTCAATAAAAAGTCCTCACACAGATATTGAGTAATGCTATTTTCTCAACAAATTTTTTTGCTACTAACTAGGATAAAGTAGAGAGATAGTCTTGGAGGAAACAACATAAGGATAAATTTAAGTAGTGTTGCAGATAATGTCCTTGCTTTCTTTTGTTGTTTTACTTGCTTTCTGGTAAGGACTTTGTAGAAAGTCAAAGGAGCTCTTAATCACCTACAATGAAGGCTTTCATTGATGAATATATGAAGAGTTTTCTTTTCAGATTGACTTTGAAGTGTAGATAGAATTTTGGCAGATAAAGATGAAGTAAATAGCAGACAAACCTTGAGCAAAGAGTGTGTTGAGAAAGAGAAACATTTTTCCTCAAAATGTGACATGTTGCAAAGTGGTTAGCAATAACACTGAGAAAATTGACTCATGGTCACATAGTCTATCATTCAGATGTGATTCTGATGGCTTGGCAGTTGGTCAATAGAAAGGTAAACTCACTACAGATTTTAATACAATTCATTGGAAGCTGTATACATACAGAAAAAAATTATGATATGTAAAATTAGAGTTGAGATGTACACACACTTTAAATATGGTAGATAAGGGAAATGGGATCACAAAAATACATGTAAGTGAGTTTGGAACATGGCCATACTATAAAAATTGTGATTTTTAAGGATTTAGTTTTTGGGTGAGTATTGATTAGTTTTTGTTTATTTTGATCAACTTGTTTTCTAGGCAATGCTAGGTTTTACTGGTAAAAATGTCTAGTAGAAAATGAAAATAGCGGGTTATAGATATGGATGTAAGTTTACTTCAAGTAATTGGCTAGTTTGAAGGCATGATGTAGATAGAAAGATTTGAAGAAAAGGATTGCAAAAAATAAGATGGCTAAAGGCATAACTTTGGAAAATATCCATATTTTGGAGCACCAGAAAGATGAAGAACCAACAGATAAGGCAATGGTGGAAATACTACTGTTTGCCATAGCAGAGAAATCTATGAAGGAAAATATTTTAAGTGAGAGAGCTATTTTAACAAACAACAGACATATCAATAATATTTTTTAACAATATGCACTTAAATTTTTCTTACATAAGTAAATAGACCTTTTCAAGAAAACTTGACTACCACCGAATAAAGAAGTGGGAATTTACCACTAATCCGCAAGAAGATAAAGTATTAAAAGGTTAGTATTAAATGTTTATCTCAGAGTAATATATACCAGTGCTTATGGTGATCAGATAAATGTTAACACATTTCTTCTGTACAAAAGTATACAGGATAGTGTACATTTATGATATCCACGACCTATCCAGATCATGCTTAAATTTATTAATTGATACCAATACTTAAAATATTGGGAAGAAACTCCTATCTTTATGACGAAAGATTCCTAATTGAAACTAAATTAATGTAAGACTCCAGACAGTATAAATGCCTTTGTAATTGATAAAGTTAAGGATCTACTATTAAAGTATAAAGGAAAATAAAATAGTGCACAAAAGAACCCAATAATACTGCGGTGATAATTCATGTAATCATTACCTTTGAGAGCCACATGATGTCGCTGTCCACCAAGAAGTTCTGGCTACCCAAGCTCCAAAGTCGTTCCTCTGACGATATCTGTCTCTAAAAGCCGGACAATGGCAGAGGCAGCGGAGATGGATTAAAAGACTCCAGAAAGTACAGTAGCTCATCTTCATATTAAGACAAGATTTTCTGATAGAAAACGGGTATTTAACATGGTGTATTCCTGGCGAAGAGATTCGGGATCCCAGCGCCTGCTGCTCTCGCTTCTCTTTCTGGCAGCCTGGGAGGCAGGGAGCGGCCAGCTCCACTATTCGGTCCCGGAGGAGGCCAAGCACGGTACCTTCGTGGGCCGCATCGCGCAGGACCTGGGGCTGGAGCTGGCCCAGCTGGTGCCGCGCCTGTTCCGGGTGGCGTCCAAGGACCGCGGGGACCTTCTGGAGGTGAATCTGCAGAACGGCATTTTGTTTGTGAATTCTCGGATCGACCGGGAGGAGCTGTGCGGGCGGAGCTTGGAGTGCAGCATCCACCTGGAGGTGCTCGTGGACCGGCCGCTGCAGGTTTTCCATGTGGAGGTGGAGGTGAGGGACATTAATGACAACCCGCCGGTGTTCCCAGTGAAAGAGCAAATGCTGTTTGTTTCAGAATCCAGAATGCCAGACTCGCGGTTTCCGCTAGAGGGCGCGTCTGATGCCGACGTTGGAAGTAACGCTTTTTTAACTTACAGGCTTAGCTCTAATGATTACTTCACACTAGATGTGAATTCAAAGAACGACCAGAATAAACTGGTTGAACTCGTATTAAGAAAAGCCTTGGACAGAGAGGACGCTCCTGAACACAGCCTATTTCTGACAGCCACCGATGGGGGCAAGCCTGAGCTCACAGGCTCCGTTCAGCTGCTTGTCGCTGTGCTGGATGTGAACGATAATGCTCCCGCGTTCGAACGGTCTGAATATGAAGTAAGAATATTTGAAAACTCGGACAATGGAACGACAATGATCAGACTGAATGCTTCTGATCGGGATGAAGGAGCGAATGGCGCGATTTTCATACTCTTTTAATAGCCTTGTTCCAACCATGATTATGGAGCAGTTTATCATAGATCCAAATACCGGGGAGATAGTAACTCAGGGGA